TTACTAAATAAGTAGTTTACCTATAAGTCTCATATACTATGAATATAAGTGTTTGTAATTCCATACGTATAAATCTTATTTCAATTCTATACGAGTATGTGTGTTAGGTATAATTATCTACTTAATATACAAGTAGTACATAGGGTATAAGTAGGGGGAAACTTATACTTAACATTAATACTTGTATACGACAAAGTATAATGTTTCTAACAAGTTGCTACCATGAGTCTGTAACCGCTGCTTGACAACAAAACCTCTGACAAAACACACTCATGATCTACCATGAGAAACAATACACTCATGATTTACCATGAGAAACAATACACTCATGATTTACCATGAGAAACAATACCGCACGCTTCATCGACGCCGGAACAATAACAAATAAAAGGAACAGATCGTCACTCGCTTGTCTTGGGTTGTAATTAACAACCACGAGTGGGGTTGTCAACCTGTATCTTATTCATACACGACTTCCTCGCTCACACGGGATTAACGGTTACATGTCAGAGGACTTCCACTAAGATCCCCAATATTAGTTGATGAATGAGGTAGCTCATGTAGACTTTGACGGCGTCCTATAGTCCTAACAATAAAAACATTTTCATGTCTAAAACCCTACGCTACTACACTATGCTTTTAAACAGTACTCCTAACTTCATAACATTCAGGCAGTATGAGAGCTATAACTTGAGTTAAAACCAGGTTTTATCTTAACATAAAACCAATAACAACAACATATAACATACCTGGTTTGATCTTGACATAAAACCAATAACAACAACATATAACATACCTGGTTTTATCTTGACATAAAACCAACAATAACAACATACTTATCAATTACATATAGAACTTCCGAGTATAACTCTGGAACTATATCGCACACAAAATATATATAGAATCCTAAGTATAACTCAAGATCTACATTAGTATACTACTATAACAATAACATGCTAACAACTTTACGATAGTTGTATACTTTCAGATACAAAATAACTATATCCCGGTTATTATAACTATCTACGTTGATACTAATATACTATCATATAGACATAATAATAACGTATATATAATATTTAGCATGCGTTTTCCCCCGAAATATTAGAAAGCGGGGCCGTGAAACTCACCCTAGTAGTGTGATTTTATGTAATCTAAGCAGAAACGGTCAGCGTACGAGGTCGTCGGGGCTCGGGATGCAAGATGGCTTCAGTAAAGGAGAGAGGAGAAAGGGAAATGGTGTAAGGAATAGCTGAAGTCGGACCTGCTATTTCTAGGAAGGATTTTAGACTCTCACGTCGTGAGTCATGCATGCTTATCCCGTAGACTTGCCATTTGCGTCCCTAGCTTCGGAAGGTGGCCATGTGACTCCTTACGTCGTGAGATATCCTTGCTCACATCGTGATTTTGGATCTTATCCCCTCGTATCCTCGTCACACACCTTCTAGATTATGAGATGTGGGAAAATGACTCCTCACGTCGTGAGTTTCTGGGCTCACGTCATGAGCTCAGTCAAATTAGGGTTTCTGACAGCTGAATCTTTGGAAGGTCATAACTTTTGCATACGAACTCCGTTTTTGATGTTCTTTATATCCACGCGTAGGTATTTACGAGAACTAAAACTCTCTTTTAGACTCCAATAGCTAATTCTAAGCCTATTTTAAATTCATCTTATTATAGAGATTTATAGTGTTCGGTTTATCATAACTTCTTCACACGAAGTCAGATTTAGACGTTCTCTATATTTTTGGAATCGTATGGACGTATACTTTGAGTTGTATCATAAAAGTTCGTACTTGTATTAGAATTTATCATGAATTACATAGTAAGTTTGTCACTTTACTAGTTTAACAAAATCACATTACATGATTGGCATAATCACATGTGATTGTTATTGACCTATTTTGACTGGTGTTACAATGTGGAACCTTTGAGACACCAACAATGACTCAACTTGATGTAGATGCTAGTCCATAAACTCTTAAACCATTAAGCTTTGAGTTCATAACCAATATAAACTTAAAGAGGGCATGAAGATGCAAGTAATCTTGAAGAAAAGAAGAACAAAAGGGAGAGAGTAACCTCCTCTTAGGAGGTTACAGTTTTGAGGAGTTAGAATGAAGTAACCAATTCTAGAGTGGAAGCCTCATATTTATATTTTCTTAAAATGAAGTATTTAAACATTAGGTCATTCCGCTTTAGAAAAGCATGTCCCTAAAGCTTACATGCCTCCCATGCTTCTTATTACTTTTGATTAAACAAACATGAAAGCCATACTCTTGTCTTTTAACTCTTATTTTATAAAAGAAATAAAAGGAAAAAGACAAAAAGCTTTATATTTTATAAACCAAGTTTATAAAATATAAGCTTTAACTTTTTGGTAAAAGACAAAACAATTTATCTAGTCCAAAATGTTGTGCATGACTTATTAATTCATACCATATGAATTATATATAATGTTACTTGCTAATGAAAATTATTATTTCCTAGAAATAAATAATTTCCAATTTAATTATAAAAGTTTTCTTGAATATTTATTAAAATCAATTTCTAATAAATATTCAATTATATCAAGTTGTTGTTAGTGTGACCCATTAGTATCACATTTTAATTAGCAATATCACTTTAATATGACTCTTGAGCATACTAGACCTTTCATTATGCATGCGTGTTGAAATAGACCCGAGGGCCAAATATAGCCATTTTTATGTACTTCATGTCTTTGTGAGATAGACTCGGGGGTGAGATAGACTCTTGTTGATATGCATGTATGTTATATGTATGTGGGGTGAAATAGACCCGTTTGTTTGAAAAACACCGATTGAGTTGTAATAAACGCGGGGGTGAAATAGACCTGACGGTTGAAAAATACCGATTGAGTTGAAATAGACTCGGAGGTGAAATAGAACCATATAACTTCGAGCTGATATATATGTATGGTATTGGGTATTTTAGGGAACTCACTAAGCTTTGTGCTTAAGGTTTTATGTTTATGGTTTTAGGTACTTCCAGTTCTAAGGGGAAGAGCTCGACGTGATTATACCATATCCACCAGTGTTCCACATGATTTGATTTGTTTTGTACTCTGATGATTATATGACGTGATTTCATACTATCATGGGATTTCAATTTGAATGAATGGTTGTTTTGATTGATTTGAAGAAAAAATTTCACTTATAATTTTTGGGACGTTACATCGCGCTACCAAAACTTTTTTGTTTCTCGCTCTCCTGATACGACGCATTGCTCCATAGAGGATGGTTAACAATCTTTTGTGTTTTTTCGGGAAGTTACCCCAGTTTCCTCCAAAGTTTAATACCTCAGTAACATTTACGAATTGAGCGAATTGAGTCAGAGGTAGTTCGTAACATTTGAATACACATTCATAATCAGTGATTGCAAAATGGCAATTTAAAAGTAGATAGTCCACCGATTCTTCACATGTATCACAAAGTGCACGACTAGTCAAGGGAAGTTGAATTCCATGTTTTGCGTGGGACACGATAGTCGGGATTCTGCCAAGACTTGCCCTCCAAATAAAGCACAAAACCTTCTCCAGGACAATTTTGATCCATTTAAAGGCATCTCCGCCCATATATTTAATCTTCAAGTCTATTTGGGTTCTTGCTGCCTCAACTATGTATACCCTATCAACATCAAGCTTGCAACGAAATTGATCATGTGCTTGCAAAAATTTATAATTGCACAAAATCAGGTTCATATATGTTACCTCATGTTTGGCTTGATCAGTATTGGGATAACATTTCCATGCCCATCTAAAATGATTTCCTGCTCTCCTCTTGTAAATGAAGCTACTTTTACGGGATTCAAGTGAGTAAAAATAATGGGAATAGTTCCTCGAATGTGCTTAATCCAGCCCATATGTCTTCCCATAGCAGGGTATTGTCTCCAGTTTTGAAAATGTGATGAAAGATGTCCCCAACGCGATGTTCATGTTTTTTAATTCGGTGAAACCTTGTTAATATTGTTCATAGATTTTCGGTGAAGCTTGTGATTCTCGTTGATAACTTTACGCCACAAAGAGTTATTTTCATGTAGAAGTCACCATAAACATTTAATAAGTAATGCTATGTTTTGGGTTGTGAGAGAACCTACCCCAAGACCACCTTCGTTTTTCGGGTCCAACACCCTCTCCTAGGCTATCCAGTTAATTTTTTTTTCTATGTTTGATCTACCCCGTAGAAAACATCTTCTTAATTTCTCGAGTTCATCTATAGTACACGAGGAAGCCTGGAATAGCAAGAAATAGTATGTTGGAAGGCTTCCCATAAATGCTTTCATTAAAGTAACCTTACCACCGAATAATAACGTTTTAACTTTCCAAGCCGATAACTTAGATTGGAAACGGTTAATAACTAGTTTCCAATGTTTTGTTTGGGACATATTTGCGCCTACCGGTACACCAAGATATACAAAAGGAAGGGTATCTACCAAGCATCCAAGATTAATAGCCATTCTTTTCGTTTCATTTCCGTTAACACATAAACCAAACACTTTAGACTTATGGAAATTTACTTTGAGACCAGTGGACACTTGAAAACATCTAAGGATCCGGACAATATTTTTGATGTTTCATCAGGTCCATTCCCCCACAATGATAGCATCCACATATAATAGGTGTGATATAATGGTACCGTCATTAGGGATTTTGATACCGCTGAAAATAGATTTACTACATGCCGTTTTCATAGCAATATTGAAACCTTCCATAGCTATGATGAAGAGATAGGGTGATAAATGATCGCCTTGACGGGACACCTTTGGTGATCGGGAATTCGAGAGTGGGAGACCCGTTTATGGTTAGTCCTCGTAATAATATGTCCTTTTTCAGTTCAAAAAATAAATAAAATTTGTCTAGTTATATAAACACGTCATCATATTTCATAATCATTCATTAGTCAACCTACAAAATCTCTTACATATTAGCAATCAAAGTACATAGAATTACACAAGATTCGTGTAAAACAGAAAATTACATATCATGAAATTCGGTAAAAATTCAATCTAATTATGACTTAAGAGTATGTTTAGACACAGAAATAGTTGTTTGTAATCTTTTTCACTTTTTTTCATCAATGACTGTTTGTTTAAGTTTTTTGCCGGCCACATCAACAACATCATCTTTTGCTTTTTGTGTAATACTGTCTGTGGCTTCAGAAACCTTCCCTCGTACGTCTTTGGTCATGTTTGTTACCTACAATTAAAAAAATGAACCAAGATTGAATGAATATGTACCGATATAATGGGTGAGAAAAACTGTTGCAAACTTACTTGCGTTGCCCCTTTCTTAACTGCTTCGGCTGCTTGAGTTACCTGATCACATGTTTCTTCGACCTTTTCATCTGATCTATCCTAGATATCATAAAAACATTAGAGAATTACACAAAATAAATGATCATAAACATAGGTTTTAACATCCGAGATAAATATTAATCACAACCTAGAAGATACTTACTTTTTGCAAAGGTTTCGAAGCGGTTACAAAAGCTCTCTGTTTTTTCACAAATGATGGCCTCAATGATCCATTGGAAACGCCCTTGAATGCCTTAACCACCTTACTTAAATTCATTCTTGCCATGTTTATATTCTAACCCTTTGTGTTTGTTATATATGAGATGAGTTTTCGAACATAGCATTTAGACGTTTCCCAATGTTGCTCAATGTGAAATAATGGAAGTTAGTGACACGTGTTAGTGTTTCAGGTTCTTTAGCCTAAAAATTTGTGAAATATACGTTTGACTTGATTTTATTGTATTCATTGAAGGATTCAACGAATGACAAAAATAGCATAAAATAAAGCATTATTTTTCATTCATTTGAGAAGCAATCGGTGTTGGTACACAACTTTTCCTTGGTTGTTCAAAAGATTAGCCAGTTTGACAGCAGCAATACTGGTAAAGAGGAGGCATGCAATTCCCAGATGGAAAACCAAATCTTTTGCATAATGCACTACAATCTGATATGTCTTCGCATTTTCCTTGACACTGATAACTCGCTTCTCCTACAGCTGCAAAACCTGATGAGTATTTAAATCCAAATTAATATCTTAATTAATAATAACAAAAAAGTTATGTATGTAAACAAGTTTTGGGTTCGAAACTCACAGAGATGTAGTATTAGAATGACAGATGAAAGCTTCAGTAGAATGGAGAAGAAATGTGAGATTTCCATATTCTTTGTTACTTGGGTTTATGACTCCCGTGGAGTTTAAATAGAAACTTCATGTGCATTCAACTGTCAATGACTGCATTGAATTATCGAACCCTTCGTCGATATTCGGGTAAGACTTTGGATTCATTTAATGAAATATAAAAATTTGATATGCAATAAATATTTTATTGGGAGTATAAATTCATACTAATTATGTTTTGTGTTTTATTTATGCTATATGGCCTACTAATTAAAAAAACTAGTTATTAAATAAAGAATGATACTAATTAAAAAACTACTTATTAAAAAAAAATCAAACATGGGATGCATACACTCGTTTATTCACACATGGGTACAACAAACAATTAGATGGGGAGGGCATATGCATATAATTAGTCTAAATAAAAAGTTAGTTAATACTTAAAAAGTTAGTTTTTATATGAAAAACTACTAACCTATAAGTTAGTTATCAAAAATAATGTTTGAAAAAACTAACTAATTAAAAGATATGAAATGACACAAAACAGCATTTAGAAAATATTTTTTTTATAACTAATTAAAGTTATGTATTTGGAAAAGTTTTTATGAAATTTTGAAAAACTTGTATAAGTAGTTTTTCAAAAATCTAGTTTATAAACTATTTTGACTTGCCACATGACAACTTAAGAAAACTCAAGAAACAAGTCTGTTTATCAGCTAGTTATGGTGCGCCAAACAAAACTTTAATCAAGTAGGGTTTTTTTTTCTTAAGCTTTAAACGCACACTTTCTAATTCGTAAATCTATGTTTCTGTCAACTACAAGATTTGAAACATCAACCACTTAAAACATGTCATATTTCTGACACATCCTTATAACGCTAGGCCAAAGCATCTTTGATATTTAATCAACTAAAACCATAATGTGCAAACGATCTCTTATTATATAGAAAGTTTTATTGTAAATGGCTCAAAAGTCACTGTGATTTCGAAAAATTCATTTTGGAAATTGTGCTATTTTTTGTTAAAATTACTCACTATCATTTAAATTTTTTTTACAATGTTGACTTTTTGACTGGTCAACCAAGTTACATGCTAACGTGACTTGTTAGCGTGTCGGTCTTTGGTGACGTGGCAGGCTTACATGTCATTATTTGTTTGTTGGTGTCGATGTGACATGATTACGTGGGAAAATTGAAAAAGGGGCACAAAAAACATTTGGTTTTCGCTTTAACTTTTTCCAGTTTTCCACAAAGTTTTCACTATTTTAAATTTTAACACGCTATTTTTTTGTTCTAAATCAAGTATCATGTTTCCAATTTCTTTCAATGTTGACCATTTCTATTTGAAATCATATAAATTTTGTTTTTTACATTTGAAACAATATTAACACATTTTTATTTTAATTTAAAAACAATATTTTTGTATAAATATAATTTTTTTTATATTTAAACCGTAACATTATACATAACATTTAATATTTATATTAGTATAACTGTATTTTTCATTAAATGTAAAATCTTAATGTAATAAATGTATTTCTATACATGTGACTTTAATATAAAAATACAATTTAAATGTAAATAAATGCACGGAAATACAATTTAAATGTTATAAGAATATTTATTTTTATATAAAAATATGTATCAGTTGCAATATCTTTTGTAATAGAGCATTTGTGTTATAATTTAACGTTATAATTTATTCATTTTTGTATAGAAACTCGACGAGTTGGATGCCCCAAACTCGTCGAGTAGAGATGGATTGGGACGCGGGATATGAAGTCTACTCGACGAGTTGGTAGCCTCAACTCGATAAGTAGGACTGGCAGAATGAAATCCTAATTTTAAGGGTTTTGCACCCTATTTAAACACTTTAACCCCATAATCTAGCCTCATTTACAGCCTCCATTGTCCCAAACCCTAGCCACGAAACCCTAATTCGCTTTTGTGAGTTTTTTAGCCATTTTTGTGCATTGTTTGTGATTTTGAAGAAGGATATTCTTGAAGAAGGAGCAAGGACGTATAGGAGGAAAGTAGATCCAGAAATTGAGCTTCATTTCTGGTTCATCTCAGGTATAAAGCTCCTATCTTGCCTATAGTATGCTTAGATCTCTTTCTTATCACTTTTATGGGGTTTTGGTCCAAGTAGCATGGTCCTTGGGAAATGGACGTCCCAAGTGAGTATACTTCCAGATCTAGGACTTTGAAGGGCTTTCATGGCATAAATATGCAAACTTTATGGCCATTGAAGCCCCATTCAAGCTTTAGGATGTCATTTTGGCCTTTTAAGCTCCAAAAGGCCATGCATGGAGAGAAAGTCAGAGACTTTACGTGTTCATGTAGTGTCTAGGGTCTAGATCTCAGTTTGTATGCCTTCGCTTGAAGTATTAAGGGCTTTTGGATTAAGATCTAGCTCTTAAAGAGTTAGTGTTTGAGTTAAACCCATTAGGGAAGGGTATTAACGGGTAAAGTTGGAAACTTTACCCTTAAAAGGACATTTTTAGTATGTATATGAAGTATGGAGCTTAATCCATTAAGAAGGGCTTAACAGACTGAAGAACTCGACGAGTTCATAGAGGAACTCGACGAGTTGGGTCGGGGTGTCCCGATTCTGTTGATGGGAGGTACTCGACGAGTTCGTGAAAGAACTCGACGAGTTGAATTGCGATTTCAGGTTCTATGATTTATGGAACTCAACAAGTTGATAGACCAACTCGGCGAGTTGAGTCAACCCAGAACATTGACTTTGACCAGAATGTTGGCTTTGATTTGGAATTTGCCATGTTATATGTGATAGTGATAGGAAGGGTGGTTAGACCCCGTAACCGGTTGTGATAAACCGGAGGGTAGGTCGGCATACAAATATGTCTGGCAGTATGTTTACGATATGTTATTATGTGCTAGTGGTAGGGGTGAACTAGTCCCCATAACCGGTTGAGATAAACCGGAGGGTAGGTCGGGCACCCAGATATGCCTAACAGGGCTAGGCCGGACACCCTGGTATGTTTGACAGGGGTAGGTTAGCACCCCGGTATGCCTAACATGGGTAGGTTGAGCACCCAGGTATGCTCAGCACGGTAGGTCGGGCACCCAGATATACCTGACAGTATGTGTTTATGTGGTATGATAGGGGAACTCGCTAAGCTTCATGCTTACGGTTTATAGTTTTGGTTTCGGCACTTCTTCTTTGAAAGGAAAGGAGTCGGCATGACTACAACGCATCACACCACAATTTTCTGCAATATGATATTCTTGGGATTTTTACTCTGATATTATTATCCTATGACATGTTTTTGAGACATATGAGTTATGGGTTTTTATGATATGAGATAACCTTAATGATGTTTTCAATAATCTGTTTTATGAATTATTAAATTAAAAATGAAATTTTTGGTCTTGGAATTTGGGATGTTACAAGTTGGTATCAAAGCCTTGGTTTGAGTGATCCGGACACACCTTCGAGGGTGTCTGGACTCAAATCGAGGATTTGAAAAGTTTTTACAAAAATAAATTTTCTAAGAATTAAAATTAAAGGTTTTGAGAATGAACAAGGAGTGTGATGCGTGTAATCGGCCGAGCTCAAGTAAGTTTTCCCCAAGATACCCATACATGTTGATATGATATATGATATGATTATGAGAATTGCATGCTAGATTAAGGCTAAGGATCTAGGAAGAATGCCTTATAATCCTGATATATGTGTGTGAGAACTACATGGTAGATTAGGGCTAAGGATCTAGGAAGGATGCCTTATATGCCTGATATATGTGTATGGAAATTGCATGCTAGATTAGGGCTAAGGATCTAGGAAGGATGCCTTGTATGCCTATTGTATGAGCTTATAGAAGTGCATGCTAGTACTGATTAGTCAGTGATATGATGGCCTGATTCGGATATGCTTGGTTTGGTTACTCGAAGCCCGAATGTTGCTTGCTTTATGCTTTTAGGAGTTCTAGTTATCATTAACTAACTAGTAAACGATTATGTTATGTTACATATTATGAGGACTAAATAATTTCAGAAGGTTAGGTTTAGCCCTATTTCGCAGCTCTTGTCTGAGTCCAACTGTTGTAGGGTAGGACCTCTCATTCGAATAATTATTTGGTCTTGGTGATATTTAATGGTATTCGCGAGCTAGTTAGGGAGAGATAGAAGGGACTTCTTATGCAGCTGATGGCGGAGAGTCAGTCGGAGATTAGCCTAGGGTAAGCCTAGAATGAGATTAGCATGGAAAGCAATGATAGTGGAAGGAACTTGGCGAAGTCAAAGCAATCTTTGAGGAAAGTACGGATAGATGTAGAAGTTAGTATGTGCCCGTACTACTGAAAGCAGAGGATCCGTACTCGAGTCAGGGAGGGCTCAGACAGAACCAGGGAACTAGGAGTGTACGTGAGACCTTTCGAGGTTATGTATGACCTTGATGATTATGTGTTTTGTTTCAGAATGGTGGTGACACATCACGGAGCAGGAGGTTCAGGGTCTGGGTCAGGTTCAGGTAC